GGTACATCCAATGTCCTTACCAACGCTGGGATATAGTTCTTTGCTTTCTTTGCAAAACTTGACATCTTTATTTGGAGTAACTGTTGTCTTGTTATTATATCTTACTAAAAGGTATCAGTAGAATCATCATAAACTGATAAATGTTAAGATGCACCAAGCTTGGATTAGGTATCCAGCATGCCTATAAAACAATAAATATTCAATTGGAATATGACATCTAGGACCACAAGACCCTTTCTTGGATTCTGTATCCAGCATGTCTATAAGACTACAAATATTCAATTGGAATATGACATCTAGGACCACAAGACCCTTTCTTGGATTCTGTATCCAGCATGTCTATAAGGCTACAAATATTCAATTGGAATATGACATCTAGGACCACAAGACCCTTTCTTGGATTCTGCATCCAGCATTGCCTATAAGACTACAAATATTCAATTGGAATATGACATCTAGGACCACATAACCCTTTCTTGGATTCTGTATCAAGCATTGCCTATAAGACTACAAATATTCAATTGGAATATGACATCTAGGACCACATAACCCTTTCTTGGATTCTGTATCCAGCATGTCTATAAGACTACAAATATTCAATTGGAATATGACATCTAGGACCACAAGACCCTTTCTTGGATTCTGTATCCCGCATGCCTATAAGACTACAAATATTCAATTGGAATATGACATCTAGGACCACAAGACCCTTTCTTGGATTCTGTATCCAGCATGCCTATAAGACTACAAATATTCAATTGGAAAAAGGGTCTTGTGGTCCTAGATGTCATAGCTGGATACAGAATCCAAGATGTCTATAAGGCTACAAATATTTAATTGGAATATGACATCTAGGACCACAAGACCTTTATTCTGAAAGATAAAATAGTTTAAGATGAATGAATAACAACCAGAAATGATGTAACGAGGTAACTGAGTCAAATTTGTCTGAAACTCACATAAACAGCGGTAAGAAAATGCGTGACACAAATGTCTACCAGGAGGACTTTCTTGTTTGACCCAAACCTTAAAATAATACTTCTTTATAACCTTACGTATTACGTTTCATTCTTTTACCACAATGTATACAATGTTCATGCTAAGCCGCTGGACTAATTAGACATAGATAGCATTGTAATCAGTCTTTCGTGTTCATTGTTTCTTATAATTTCAACAAAACTAAAAAGAATTACAACTAGTGCTTAACCTCTGTCGGATTTCTCGAAACGAGTTCTGGAATCTGTTTTGGACTTACTATTATCATTAAAGGTTGAAACACTGTAATCAATTTTAAGATTAACTCAGTTGCTTTACGAATTGACATTTGACTGATGCAATAAGCGACCCATCCAAAGTTGTAGCCTTACTAATGTTTGCTTTTTACACTCAGTATTCCTTCAACAAGGAGCCTGTACCTTGTTGATGTTGTTTTTTCTAGAATTTAAAGTTTTCAGCAAACAAAAATTGTGAGATCGTAAATTGGTGTAAGTAAAAAACCGAGTTATATTATATCTTTATATTAAAACTTCAAGTTCAGGCTATGAGATAAAATGACCCGGCATGGCCAGGTGGTCGCCCTTTCAGCCGTGGGAGCGTTATAATGTGACGGTCAATCTTACTATTCGTTGGTAAAAGAGTAGCCCAAGAGTTGGCGGTGGGTGGTGATGACAAGCTGCCTTCCCTCTAGTGATACAATGCTAAATTAGGGACGGCTAGCGGAGATATCTCTCGCGTAGCTTTGCGCGAAATTCAAAATAAAACAAACCAAACTTAGCCGCTGGCTTATGTGATTACGTCGAAAAAGACATTTTAAACCATCGAAAATCTAAATAGAAAAATAACTTTTATAGTTGTTGTCCCTACGTTTATATGTGTGGATATAGGGACAAATTGAGAAGAAGAGACTGAAGAGACGTCGTGTAGCGTTGCGCGAAATGAAAAACAAGCACACATGAGATAAAAAATTGTGCAAGAGGGAGATTAGGTGTGCAGTATATGTATCACCCTAGTCACCAGAGGTATGTGTCACGTTGTTTGTTTTTAAGTATATGACAATCACGTGGGTTGTTGTGTCAACTTTGGGAGATTATCTCTAGCGATCTGTTTAAGAATTTAGTACTATTTGACCTGGCATGGCATAGAGATTAGGGCACTCGGTTCGAAATGTTAGTTTAGTACTATTTGACCTGGCATGGCATAGAGATTAGGGCACTCGGTTCGAAATGTTAGTTTAGTACTATTTGACCCGGCATGGCATAGAGATTAGGGCACTCGGTTCGAAATGTTAGTTTAGTACTATTTGACCCGGCATGGCATAGAGATTAGGGCACTCGGTTCGAAATGTTAGTTTAGTACTATTTGACCCGGCATGGCATAGAGATTAGGGCACTCGGTTCGAAATGTTAGTTTAGTACTATTTGACCCGGCATGGCATAGAGATTAGGGCACTCGGTTCGAAATGTGCGAGTCGCGGGTTCGAATCCCGTCTCCGAACATGTTCGTCATTTTAGCCGTGAGGGCGTTATAAAGTAAAGGTCAATCCTACTATACGTTGGTAAAAGAGTAGTCCAGGAGTTGGCGGTGGGTGGTGTTGATTATTTGTCTTTCCTCTAGTATTTCGCTGCTAAATTAGGGACGGATAGTACAGATACCCCTCATGTAGTTTTGCGCGAGAATCAAAACAAACCAAACAAATTCAAGTAAATAGTAGGGACGTGTGCAAAAAAAAGAAAAATGACGTCACTGTAACAGCATATAAACGAAAACAAACATTAAATTTTTCTTGGGAACGTGTGCAAAAAAAAGAAAAATGACGTCACTGTAACAGCATATAAACGAAAAGAAACATTAAATTTTTCTGTCACTTGCTGATTTTTTCATCCAATAAAATTTTCGTTGAAGTTTATTTTTAGATATCTAATACTAATTAATGACATATTTACAATTATTTCCAACATACAATATATCTTTTCACAGCTAAATTAAGGGCGGCTAGCGCAGATAGTCCTCGAGTAACTTAGCGCAAAATTAAACCAAACAAAGAAATCGTAATATTTCACTTCCATTTTGGTCAATATCAGCAGAACCTTCTCAGAATTGGTTAAAGGATTTTTAGATGTGTTACATTGAGAGCTTGAACACATACACCTGCTCTTGAACTAGAATATATAATGTGATATCACAGAATAAAGAATGAATCTGGGAGAGGATATATATCCCTACTCCTGTCATTTTTCAACACGTCAGATACCTTTCCAACTAAGACACAGTTTGTTTCTTGAATTTCACGCAAAGCTACACGAGGGCTATCTGCGCTAGCCGTCCCTAATTTAGCACTGTAAGACTAGAGGGAAGGCAGCTAGTCATCACCACCCACCGCCAACTCTTGGGCTACTCTTTTACCAACGAATAGTGGGATTGACCGTCACATTATAACGCCCCCACGGCTGAAAGGGCGAGCATGTTTGGTGTGACTGGGATTCGAACCCGCGACCCTCGGAGTGTGAGTCGAGCGCCCTAACCACCTGGCCATGCCGGGCCACCAACTAAGACACATTACACTGTTTCTCTTTGACGCAAGATTTCCTTCAGTATCAAATGTGTGTAAAATACCGTGACACAGAGTTAAAGTTTAGTCGTTGGTGTATCAGTTATCCCCCACAAAAGGGACCATTGATGGCACGTATAGAACTGGTAATCACGAAAACAAACACTTTAGTTTTGTTAATGTTTTATTAACTGAATGATTTATCAGTGAATTCTGGCAAAACTAATCAAAACGTTGGAGGCACACAGTGAGTCACTCCATACAGATTTAGGAATCAAAAACAACGTTTATATAAATAACACTGATAAAGGACATATCTATAGGACGATAAGGGAAAAACAAAACAAATAAGAAACATCAAGGACTAGAAATTTCAATTAATTTTTTGTTGAGTTTTTCATCAAACTTCTGTTCTTTTTTTTATACAATTTGAAATAAATTGTTTTGTGTTGAATTTTCGGATTTCAAAAACTGTATAAACTACGAATACAAATATCAAATATATCGTATATCTGCTTTCTTGATATCATAACCAAAGTTAAATATATGAATATACTTCGAAGTTTACTAATATATCAGTTTTTAAAAACCTATTCAACACAACTGATTTAACGAGAATACTACGATTGTGGTCAACATTAAAAAGATATTTGAGAAAACAAAGGTTTAGATTGGAATTCTGTAACAGATTGTAAATAGACTGTATATTAATGTAAAAACAATCTTTGTGTATTGGTTTAAAACACTGTGTATTAGTCTAAAACGTTATATTTGTGTGTTAGTATAAAAACGTTGCTAATTAGCTTAAGACACTCTCTTTGTGACTTAGCTTAAAAACATTGTGTATTAGCTTAAGAGATTTGTTTTATGTATTACTTTGAAAACACCATCTTTGTGTATTAACAAAAAACATTATGTTTGTGTATTAGCTTAAAAAACTCTCTCTGTATTAACTTTAAACCATTCCCTTTGTGTGTTAATGTTAACACTATTTCTGTTTATTTTCTTGAAAGGGCGATTCTGTGAACATTATTTACAGATTTACAAATGCGGTTATTATATTCAGGAAAACAAACTTTATGAAAATATAAATGTTACAGAATTACAAGATCACATGCATGATTACATCCGATTAGAAAGATTGTGAATTAAATTATTGGTTTTGAAAAATCTACCACAACCTACCTTCTATTTGCATTTCGTTTAGAACCGTTAACACGACAATGATATGATGGTAAAACTGTTAGATTTTTTCAACTAATATCTTACCTCAGCGTTATCGAATACACAAAACAAAACAAACTGTTTTTTTATACAATTTATGGTTGAGACAAAACCCTATGAGAGTAAATACTGCCAAAAAAAAAGGGAAGGAAGAAGCTTGCTAAAAAAACACTCAACACTAAATCATCTGCTTAATTTGAGGTTAAAACATAAAATAGAACAAATTTTACTCCAGAATTACCATTTTTATTATTGTTTCCATATAATGTTAATTATACAATTGTTAATTATGATGGTAATAAATCATATAATCGCGAACTAAGAGATCTACATGTGACGAGTGTTACCAAAGTTAACTCCGCTCGCATTGGCGCCTTTATTTGACCCGTACTGTAAACTGATGACAGTAGCGCCCCCTCTCCGTTGCTCTTCACTAAAGTTTCGAACATTGGTTTCTGCTTCTTTAGGACCGAGGGATTTGTGGCCAAACTTACTTCCCTGGAAGATTCAAAATATTTTTTTGGAAAACTCGACTTTATTAAAAAAGAACAACAACTTTTAGTTTGTTCTGTTACAACAACTTTTAGTTTGTTCTATTACAACAACAACTTTTAGTTTGTTCTATTACAACAATAACTTTTAGTTTGTTCTATTACAACTACAACTTTTAGTTTGTTCTATTACAACAATAACTTTTAGTTTGTTCTGTTACAACAATAACTTTTAGTTTATTCTGTTACAACTACAACTTTTAGTTTGTTCTGTTACAACAACAACTTTTAGTTTGTTCGAACAAATTAAAAGTTATTGTTGTAATAGAACAAACTAAAAGTTATTGTTGTAATATGTTACAACTACAACTTTTAGTTTGTTCTATTACAACAATAACTTTTAGTTTGTTCTATTACAACAATAACTTTTAATTTGTTCTATTACAACTACAACTTTTAGATTGTTCTATTACAACAATAACTTTTAGTTTGTTCTATTACAACTACAACTTTTAGTTTGTTCTATTACAACAACAACTTTTAGTTTGTTCTATTAATTCTTACTTGTGGATAAACGATATCCTAGAAAAGTAAAAAAAAATCCCTCTGTTACATCTTATAAAAGACACTGTTTTAGACGTTCTGATTGAATGAAAAACAATTACATATATTCGTTTACGTGACATGTATAAAACTTAAAAAAAAAACAGCTTAAAATGTTATGATTCGTCTATGATAGACGAAAGAAAATAAAAACGTTACGTAACGTCATTGACTTTTAACATGATGGATCTAGATGCAAAGTTAGTACTTCAGTATTTCTTACTGGTCTGATTTTCATACATCCAAAAAATGTTAATTTCACAATTTCTTTCACGTTTTTCTAAATTATAAACAAAATATAACTAGAGTGTAGCATGGAAATCCAAAGCAGGCTAAACCCTTGTTTTAGACAGAAACGTATAATCAGTCCAACGAACGTGACTTCGTCTGGTCTCCAGTGACACGAGTAGAGACTGTCCACGTTTCATATAGATTTCAGAAACAAGAAAACAAGCATTTCGTGAAAATACGTTACGTTATGCTAAACCACGCGTGCTTCTTATTTATCTAGTAACTGAACGTTGTAAATGAATAAGAGTCATCGAGTACCTGGATAATAAACAAATTAATTCACATATTAAATAGTTACAAGTTTTGCAACGCTCCTACATATACTCAATATAGTTAAGCGACAGCAACGCCATCTGTAAGTTGGTATTGTTCTTAAAAGCTAAGCATATTTCTATAATGTAAACAGCAGGGAGTCACGCGTATTTTAAGAGAGACAGACACAACGACCTTAACCTTAACTAAGATCTACAATATTATTTGCTACTGTTACTTTTATTAACAGTATTTATTATATCGTTTATTTTATAGAATGGCATTTCTTTGTAATTTTATTATTTTTTGATGTTATATTTATAGTTTTATTATAATGTTTTGCATTGTTAGTTTAATATGTATTTAGGACTAACCTAAACCTCCTAATATGACTGAACCTCGTGAGATATTGTTGGGATTACGGCCGAAAATATAGTTAACAGTAAGAGTGCCCAACTGACGAAACAATGCACTTTAATCTTTACAAATACAAATGCAAAAAAGTGTATTTAATTAGCTATTCTGAAGATCAGATTGATTTTTATATTACCTATAAGTACGTACTTTGCTTTGATCTCCAGTTAAAGTTAATTACGTGCCAACACTAAAGAATCATAACGTGTATTATCTTACGAGTTACATGTACTTTACCTTATATATTAAACTTTAGAAAACCACAAGTTGCATGACTTCACATGCTAAACATGAAGAAATCACAAGGTACATTAACTTAAAAATTGTGAAACAGGGAACTACATGGTCAGAGCCGGGTGTGGCCTAGTGGTTAGCGTACCGGGCTGTGAATCCGAAAGCCATTGTTTTACTGCAAGATCTCGCACTTTACTTTAGGCCCACTGTTCGATCAGAGAAGGGTAACGTAAGAGTTGGCAGTCAAAAGGCTGATCTAGGTGTGGTGGGTGGTGGGGGAGTGTATAGGGTGGCTGGCCAATCCATTTTCTTGAGTAGTTTTAGGAATCAGACAGTTCGTTTAGTTTAAAACGTTTCTCAGATCCAATAAAATAGCTCCCCCCCTTGAATAAAACCCTGGATTAGTCTCTGCGGTGAGGCTGTTGACAAGCTGCCTTACCCCCTTTAGTCTATCAGTTCAAAACTGGTGAACAATAGAGCAGGTAGACCTTGTAAAGTTTTACGCGAACATCCGAAATAAAAGAAAAAACAACAAACACACAGTCATACGTGCAAGATAATAGCAAGCCATGTGGTGTATTTCCAAGCCACTAGGTAGCTTTGTGTGACGGTTTTCTTACCTTGCGGGCTAAGGATTGGAGGCAAATGCAAACAGATGTCAAATTCTGCTGCTCCCATAAGTCTACAGTCTGAAATATCTCCTGAGATGGGACTCCTAGTTTTTGGACACTGTCTAAGAAGTGATTAATGTTCTCCATTTTCTTAAATGCCATTTTACTGTGGTTGATCTTTTTTTCTGGGATAGTACCCGGTTGAAGGACGTTGATTAACCTGTAGCAATAAACCTTATATTGAATGCTAATTAACCTTTAAGAGTGAAACCTTATCCTGAAAGTGAATTAACCTGCAACATTGAACCTTATCCTGAAAG